TCCTTCCTTCCTTCCTTCCTTCCTTCCTTCCTTCCATAGGTTACAAACATTAATTATTTCACTCTTAATCTCACTTTTCTCCAACTTGGTAAACTCTGGGCAAATGATATGTTCAACAGAAAAAGTCCATAACTTTATGACAGTAGGGTGTAAAAGCAATAATTTCTTAAGCAAACTGGACACCCTGGGGAAAAGCTGAAGTCTGTCTCTCCAACCTAGACCTCTCTGCTCACAAAAGAACAGACTTAGTTTCTGTCGGGAAAGAGCCATTGAAGCCAGGAGCACTGAGAAAGTGGATGCACTCCAGGAACATCCTAGTGCCAAGGTCTTTAAAAATGCTGTCTCTCTCCCCACCCCATCTTTGGAAAAGTACTTCTACCCAAGTGTATTCTGTTTTGATTACCAAAAAGCTATGTTCAACTGTGCAGTGGCTTTTATGAGGGGGTGATTTTTATCTTTCTCCCAATACCAGTTGGAACTTTGATTGTACTCATTCTCCTCTTTTTTTTGTTTTTTTTTCACAACAGCCAAAACTGGTCCAGAGAGATGGTACAGCCACAAATGCCAATGCGCCCCCTGTGGAGTCCTTTCCCTGGGTGGGGCCAAAGACAGTGGTGCTACACAAGAACTTGCAGGGCGGTTATGGCTTCACCCTCCGGCATTTCATTGTCTATCCCCCAGAATCAGCTGTACATTCCAACGTGAAGGTAATGTGCTTTCTGGATTTGTAAAGTGCATGCAGTCATTTGGGAGCAGTGTATTCATCATACACTATACCAGAGGATACTCCTGCAGGCACATGGTGTAGTACCTTGCTTAACCAAAGCAGGTCTTGGTGTGGTCAGTGCCTGAAGGGTTGGAACCTGCATGTAGGGCAGTTTCAAGTTTCATCACAGAAGAAAGGTAGGATATATGTAAGTACTATGGGAGGAAAAAAAAATTCAAGATGTGTTGCTAATGTGGTATTGGAGACACTGCTACTGTTGCCCAGCTTTTGACTACATAAGAAAAGCCCATACTATCTTTTATGGTAGGAATAATTAATTATATGACCACTGGACTTGACTTCTTCCCTCCTTGTGTTTCATGGCTAGGAAGAAGAATTAGATCATTGGTTTATCTAGCTCAGAATTGATCCACAGAATTTGAGGCAGAAGCCTCTCTTGCACGTTTGACATGCTCACTACAATGACCATCAGGATTCGCCCCCAAACAAATAAGGAACTTAGGATCTTTCATGAATGAATAACGTGGTGATTTTATTCTTTGATTTTAGCTTATTTACAGCCTTTTTTTCTTTTACTCTCTTTGACCCTCACAGATTTCATGAGCTCTTTGATGAATACCTTGTGTCCATGGCTGCAAAATTCCACAGGTTAGCTCTAAAGTGCCCAAAGCAAACCCAGCTATTGATAAATTTAACTGCTTTTTTCCTATTTCTTATGTGTAAACCTGCATAAGATTTTTTCTTCCTCTTCTTTTCAGAGAACTTTATTGACTTCTATATTTCTCTCCAAAGCTATTTTAGCTTATGAATATATCTAATCTCTTGTTAGTATCTTAGGAATCAAATATAACTGCTCCTTTTTTCTGTTCTTCCCAAACATAAAGAAGTTCCTTTTTTCAATCACAGAAGTATCTTCTGTTGGTCTGCAATAGTAGCCTCATCCATACGTTGCCTTCAGATATATAGATTATAATTTCCCTAAATATAGTGTGGCCATAAGTCTAAGTAGCTGGGAATTCTGGAAGGTGTATTCCAACACAATTGAGGGCCCAAGCCAGGGAAGGCAGCTACAGATTTGGGAAATCTTTATACCTGACCTGCCACATCATCTTGAGACAGAATCAGAACTCACCAAACTAAAATGTTTATGTTGAGTTGTCATTTAGGATCAGTTCTGGCTGAGATTGTCCTGGATTAACTATATTTCAGGCTAACCAAATATTAACATTTGGATGAGCTCATATACACTGATCTAATTCTATTTTGTTGACCATTCTGGGCCTACAAGAACTATTCTGCACCTCCTCATCTCACTGGGCAAGTGGCAAGCACCAGAAAGACCAAAGATAGATGGTAGCTTTTTGGTTACATTTTGTAGTAAATTGAGAAACTATAGCATAAATCGTAGTTTTATAGCATTGGCTTTTTGGAATATCCTGTCATCTAGCCCCAAGCAGAATATGATCCACATTGTTGAAGCTTAGCATACATGTTATTCCCTCTTCCAAATTGCATTTAGCTGCCCTAAATTTAGTTCTTGGGAGCTGGGAAGTATATACATATATGTAAATTTTAAAAAATTAAATAATCATGCATTCATCCTAAGCACAGCTAATTAGCTTATTGATTTATTTTATTTCATTTCTATACTGCAGCAATGGTATAGAAATCCAAAATTAATAAAACGTTCACGGTAAGTATAATAAAGAGAGTCAGTTTGGTGTTAGTGGTTAAGGCAACAGGGTAGAAACCGGGAGACTGTGAGTTCTAGTCCCACCATAGGCACAAAGCCAGCTGGGTGACATTGGCCCAGTCACTTTCTCTTAGCCCTAGGAAGCAGGCAATGGCAAATCACCTCCCAAATTTTGTCAGGAAAATTGCAGGAACTTCAGGCAGTCTCTAGGAGTCAGGGCTGACTCAAAGGCACCAAAATAAAGTATAATAAAACATCCACAGGACACAATAATAAGTTGCAAAAGTAATCAACATCCCTATTAAAATAATTGGAGTAACAAACAACAAATTCATTCAGCTGATAGTGTTGTCCCCACGACTGATCAACCCTCCAGAAAAGCATTTTCTTAACTCACTTTCAGAGGGCATTTGGGGGCATGATCAAAAAACACTACCTCAGCCCCCCCACCCCAACCTCATACAATTAAGGGATCACCAGCAATTTTTCTTGGAATATATGGATCAGATGGATCAGTTCTGATTGGAGAAGGTGGCCCTGCAAATATCTTGGCACTAAGCCATATAGGGCTTTATCGGTCAGAAAAAGGACTTTCAAATGCATCTGGAAACTTACAGTCAGCCAGTGAATGACTCTCAGGATATATAGACCAGAAGACAGCGATGGTGATAGGTGTAGCAGTGCCACGTGCCAGCAACATCAAGAAGAAGGAATATGAGAAGCTGGAGAAGTACCAGGGCCTGAAGGAGGAAGTAGAGAGGACGTGGAAAGTAAAGGCCAAAGTGGTCCAAGTTATGGTAGGAGCACTTGGGGTTGTGACTCCTAACCTGGGAGAGTGGCTT